TTGCCCTGTGCATTTCAGGATCAGCTTTAGAGTCAGCTTGTCAGATGTCACAGTATACCTATTAAGATTATTATCATTGCTTTGAATTATTCTAAAGAGAATTAACACCTTTGTATCGTTATTATTATTATGAAACAAAGCTTTGCTTTTGTTGCCCATGCTGGAGTGCAATAGTGCAATCGCAGCTCACTGTAACCTCTGCTTCCTGGGCTCAAGTGATTCTCCTGCCTCAGCCTTCTGAGTAGCTGGGATTATAGGTGCCCGCCACCATGCCCAGCGAATTTTTTGTATTTTTAGCAGAGACGGGGTTTCACCATGTTGGCCAGGCTGGTCTCAAACTCCAGACCTCAGGTAATCCACCTGCCTCAGCCTACCAAAATGCTGGAATTACAGGTGTGAATCACTACGCCCCACCACCTTTGCATTATTGAGTCTTCCTTTGGACGTGATCTGTCCCTTCATTCATTCAAATATTTTTTACTTTATCTCAGTAATGTATAATTTTCTGTGGGGGGACTTTGTACATTTCTTGTGACAGTCTCAAGTACTTAGTATGTGTGTGTTTTAATCTCGTGGTGGATACTTTGATCAAAAATTTTTATTTACTCTTTTGTTTGTTTTTGTGAGACAGAGTTTCTCTTTGCTGTCCAGGCTGGAGTGCAGTGGCATGATCTCAGCTTACTGAAACCTCTGCCTCCTGGGTTCAAGCAATTCTCATGCCCTAGCCTCCTGAGTAGCTGGGATTACAAGTGCCTGCCTCCACACATGGCTGATTTTTTATATTTTAGTAGAGACAAGGTTTCACCGTGTAGCCCAGGCTGTTCTCAAACTCCTAAGCTCAAGCAGTCCGCCTGTCTCGGCCTCCCAGAGTGCTAGGATTACAGACATGAGCCACTGGGCCTGGCCTATTTACTTTTTTATTGCTAGTATATAAAAACCAAATGGTGTTTATATGTTGATGTATTTGGCAGCCTTGCTAAATTCAGTTATAGAAGATTCATAAGATGACATGACACCGTCATGTCATCTACCAATAATGGTAGTTATATTTACAGTTGTTCAGCTTTTTCCTTCCCCTTTTATACTGGCTAAGTCTTTGAGTAAAATGCTGAAAACAGATGTCTTTGACTTCTCTCAGAGAGGAAGCTTTCGGTATCCAACCATTAATTATGATATTTCCTATTCGGTTTCTAAAATGCCCTTATCTCATTAAGGAAGTATGTTTCCTTTCATTCTAAGTTTAAGAAGGATTTCAAAAATCATTTAAAATCATTTTAAATCATGAATGATTGTTAAATTGTTTTTATTTTCTTCCATCTATTGATATGATTGTTTTATTTTTCACCTTTATTCTGTTAATGTGCCAAATTATGTTGATTTTCTATTGAACCTCTTTACATTCCTGGGATAAAACTGACTTGGTCATGATGCCTTATTCTTTTTATGTACAGCTGGATTCAGTTTGAAATTCTCGATGCATTACAATGATTAACACCTTAAAATGACCTTTTAAAATAGGCTACAACAGTGTTCTGAGTTTTTTGTTGTTTTTATATATACTTTAAATTCTAGGGTACATGTGCAGCTCATGCAGGATTGTCACATAGGTATACAAATGCCATGGTGGTTTACTACATCCATTCCCCTGTCATCTATGTTAGGTATTTCTCCTAATATTATCCGTCCCAAATCCCCCGAACCCTTGCTATCCCTCCCCTACCTCTCCCACCCCCTAACAGGCCCCAGTATGTGATGTTCCCCTCCCTGTGTCCATGTGTTCTCATTGTTCAACAACCACTTATGAGTGAGTACATTCAGTGTTTGCTTTTCTGTTCTTGTGTCAGTTTGCTGAGAATGATGGTTTCCAGCTTCATCCATGTCCCTGCAAAGGACATGAACTCATCCTTTTTTATGACTGCATAGTATTCCATGGTATATATGTGCCACATTTTCTTTATCCAGTCTATCACTAATGGGTATTTGGGTTGGTTCCAA